TGTAGAGAGCTTCATGGAATGAGTTTCCATGGCTGAGCAGCTGCATCAAGCCTTACATCACCAAGTGCAATGCAAAGCATCGGCTGCAGTGGTGTAAAGCATGCAGCCACTGGACTCTAGAGCAGTGAAGATGTGTTCACTAGAGTGACGAATCACGCTTCTCTATCTGGCAATCCGATGGACGTGTCTGGGTTTGGCGGTTGCCAGGAGATCGGTACTTGCTTGATTGCATTATGCCAAGTGTAAAGTTTGGGAGGGGGGATTATGATGTGGGGTTGTTTTTCAGGGGTTGGGCTTGGCCCTTTAGTTCCAATGAAGGGAACTCTTAAGGTGTCAGCATACCAAGACATTTTGGACAATTTCATGCTCCTAACTTTGTGGGAACAGTTTGGGGATGGACCCTTCTTGTTCAAACACGACTGTGTACCAGTGCACAAAGCAAGGTCCATAAAGATACGGATGAGTGAGTTTGGGGTGGAGATTGGCCTGCACATAGTCTCGACACAACAAAACACCTTTAGGATGAATTAGAGCAGAGACTGCGAGCCAGGCCTTCTCATCCAACATCAGTGTCTGACCTCACAAATGTGCTTCTGGAAGAATGGTCAAACATTCCCATAGACACACTCCTAAACCTTGTGGACAGCCTTCCCAGAAGAGTTGAAGCTGTTATAGCTGCTATGGGTGGGCCAACTCAATATTAAACCCTACGGACTAACATTGGGATGCCATTAAAATTCATGTGCATGTAAAGGCAGGCGTTCCAATACTTTTGGCACTATAGTGTGTGTGTGTGCATATGTGTATATATATATATATATATGTGTGTGTATATATATATATATATATCTCACACAAAGATCTGAGATGTACTGTATCTTTGGATCAGGAAAGAATAGAAATAGCATCAATGTACATAAGCCCAATTATCAAAGTCTGCTCCATCTCTGACAGTAAAGATACCCTGGGCCAGTTTTTAGTTTTTATTAAAATTCCCAAAAAATTGTTAACATTCTCTCTTGTAGAGAAACACCTATTACACTGTTCAACAGGTAAAAAGTTTTGGGCATAAAATTAGCTAATCTTACATAATTTTGGGGTGCTGAAAACGAAAATGACCCTAAAAAATGTTGATTGGCTCTAGTTTCCATGATATATTCACCCATCTAATGACGTAAGCCATTCAAAATTATGATGCAACTTCAGCTGCATATTGCGCAATTGATACTGGTGACCAATAGAAAATTGCATGTATACTGAGATGATGCAATATTAGCCTTTAATTGCATCACTTCACTGCATAAAAGCTGCAGTATCTGTAGCTGATTGTAGTTCGACAGCGTCTTTACATTTTGTTTTATGCTTATATAGGCTACTCAGTAATGCCTCGAACTTGTGTGAATAAAGCAGATAATTTCTGCTATATCTGCGGTGAAATAACTTTTATCTCACAAAAAAGGAGGATAACAGGAATGATTAAGAAAGCCTACAACTTGTATTTTGGCTGCAAGATAGGAGACCAGGACAAGAGCTGGGCACCACATATATGCTGCAATTCTTGTGGGACGGCACTGGAGCAATGGTTGAATGGAAAAAAGGCATCTATGCCTTTCGCTGTGCCAATGATTTGGAGAGAGCCAACAGATCATGTTAGTAATTGTTACTTTTGTATGGTGCCTCCAATTGTAAAAGGGCTAAATAAGAAGAAAAAGTTATCTGTGCGCTATCCAAATATTCCATCGGCAATACGTCCAGTTCCTCATGGAGAGGGGCTACCAATTCCTAAAGCACCAGAATCCTTCGTGGTTGAGTCAAGTGAGGAAGAACCTGAAGCGTGTAGTCACGTGCAGTTGTAAGAGATAGCCCTTTCCTCGAATACAAGTGAAAAGCCAAGAGAAGCAAAACCGACACAAACTGAAGACAAAACTAGTGAGAATCCTAAGTATTAAAATGATTCAACTTAGCTTATGGCTATAATTTTTCTTGGTAATATCCTATGCAATATATTATGCCATTTAGGCTTTGTTATGTAGTCAATATCACTTGCTTTATATTTGTGGAAAGACATATATCTATATAATTATTGTGCATTATGTAGTCATTACGCCTATAGTAGAAAACTTTCCGTTTACAGAAAAACTAGAGCCAATTGACAAATTTCATTGTTATATTTGAACTCAGAATGTGAAATTCATTAAGAAATTGATCCTTTTGTTTCCAAAACTGGCAAAAAATAAAAATTTGTTGAACAGTGTTATTAGTGGTCAAGGAAGTGATTACAGCTGGATCTGAAAGGAGTGAGTCAGAGGAAAGAATATCTTTAGAGCAGACAAAGCATAGTACTGTAGCTGGACTGCATCCAGGAAAATAATTAAAAGATATCTGAACCAGACTGGATGAAATCTATTACTTGTAGGGTTTGAAAAGAAAACCCATTAAGCTTGTCTATACCTCATTCTGTTTCAATAGAATTATGTTTTTCAATGTCTTGCACTTGCTTACACTCTCAGACCTACCAGAACACTAGGGCATCCATCAATAAAAATGCTACACGCATCTGTTCAATTTGGAACATAACCTGCTATGACTGCTCTTATTTGTAGTCATCTACAATGTTTTGCAGAAAAGTTGGAAAGGTCATAATCTAGGTTTATTTGCAAAAGGGATTTCTCTTTGTATGTATATAATAATTCTTCCAAAAACATATTTTCATTTTCAAAAGGACATTTTACACAGCCCTATTAGACATAAAACTGCAAGTTTTCATAATCTTGATCCTCAAGAATCACTAACAATGCTGATGGCTTATATCAGCAGGTGACTGCTTTTTCCATTGTAAATAACAACTGAATGGCAGAGTAGCAAATAGTTGTTAGTGACCTCTGCTGTTACTTCACTTAGGAATATACGAGTGCTTCTTCCACTCTGTATAAAAGGAACATAGAAACCATTATTGTATTTTATATTGAAGCCTTTTTCAAAGTTCTTAATAGAATAGGGGAAGGGTAGGATTCTATATCTGGTTCTAATGCTGTCTGAATCCTCATTTTAAAGATTTTCCTTCACTTCATTTGACCGTGTTTTCACCTGGATAGAAAATATACAGCAAGGCCACAAACCGCAATAAAAAAAAGCTGATGAAGATTCTGTCTTTCCTCTACTCTGCTAAGAGTGCTTTATTTACTTCCTCAGTTTCCTTTAGAGATTTCTTTAACTTTCTGTCCTGGTGATAACAATGTCACCTGAAAAGGAAGTGATAGGAAACACAGAGAGCATTAAGAACAAAGAAAGGTTCTAACCTGTGCCACTCTATCCTAAACTAGAAAAAAGTTTTGGCTTGAGATAAGCTTTAGCTGTGTTAAAGGATAAGTTCACCTTTTGCGAAAAAATAATAAAGACACATTTTTCCAGAGGAAAAAAAGGCATTTATTATTTTTTCCCTAAGGAGCCTAGAAAGCATTGCAACCATGATCAGTGGTTCAGGGGTGCAGTGCCAAACCCTTGCAGACAAGCCCTGCAGTTGTCAGCCTGTGCCTCCATACAGGCTGACTGTTTACAAGCTGCAGAGCTTGTCAATGAACTACAAGGCCGCACATCAGCAACCTCGCACTCCATTCAGTACTATAAGCAGTCAGCTGCAAAGGCTGACGGTAGTTGTAGTTTGTGCATTCACAGGAAGCTGTGAATGAATGACGCGGCTGTGTGGGTGGAGACCTGCATGGCCACATTTTTTTTCAAATAGTGACAGTGGGCTCAGGGGAAAAGATCCCCCTCTCGCTGCTACTGAGAGGCGGAGAGGCTGCAGCTGCTGGAACGTTACGAGTGTAACGTGTAGCATGTTCCAAAAGGTGAACTTATCCTTTAAAGAGACCCTTTCTCCAACCTAAAAACTGCATGTAAAAGCACAAAACATTCAAGTGCCGTAAAATGCGTACTTGCAGCATTATTCTTTTCCATAAACCAGTTTTTGTTTCTTTGCACTATTCTTTTGAACTTGCTAGCAAATTAGACTTCTTCAGGAGTAGTCAATTCTCTAGGATAGCCCTCTCCTCTTTTGCCTGTATTGGCCCATCTTCTTCACCACTTCCATCACCTCCCTACATAACCTATATTGGTTATATATTATTGGTTCATTGTAGAGGAATCTGGTATAAAATATATTCTAAGCTTCAAAATCAAAATTACTGGAAATTTTTGCGCAGCACTTTATACTGTAAAGGGAGACAGTACAGATACAATACAATAAAAAACAAGAGGGTTAAGTGGGCCTTGCTAATAAAAGCTTACAATCTAATAGGGTGGGGCAAGTGGAACAAAAAAGTATGACTGTGGGGATGAGCTGATGGAAGTGATAAATGCTTAGTTGGAGGTGTGATAAGCTTCCCTGAAGAGATGAGTTTTCAGGGATCACCTAAAGGCAGCCAGAGTGGGGAATAACCAGACAGTTTGAGGTAGCGAGTTCCAGAGGATGGGAGAGGCTCTGGTGAAGTCCTGGAGACGAGCATGGGAGGAGGGGAGACAAGGGAGCTTAAGAGCAGGAGGTTATGAAAGGAGCAGAGAGGACGGTGTGTGAGTGATATTTAGAGACAAGATTGGTGATGTAGCTCGGGCAGAGTTATGAATGGCTTTGTATGATGTTAGTAATTTTGAATTTAATTTGCTGGGCAATTGGTAATACAACATTACTGGTAACACTACTTTACTGCACTACAACAACATAGCAGGGTTTTTCCATAATCGGAAGTGTAGCTGCACACCACTTTATGTAACAGAGAGCATGGACTATTGGAACACACAGTTTTCCTAAGAACCATGACTTTTTAAACTCACTCCAGTGATACAGTAAATAAGTACACTTGGTATTGTGTTCTCTTGCTCCACATCAGCATTTTTGGGTAGCAGCTGCTATGTGGAAAGAAGTACATGTAATTGGTTTTCTTGAAAGGCATCCGCTTATAAATAGTTTATACAACACTGTTAGTATGGTAATAAGTCCATACTCACGGAGAAATTGTACAGCTAGAAGTGTACACATGATGTCCAGTATATCGTAGGTCACAACGAACAACATTATTGGAATAATCAGATTCTGGTACCAAGTAGCTTGGATTCACACTGACCTGAAAAACAGATTTGTATGGATGATCACATACTGGATTTGCATTCAACATCACGTGTAATCTGTCAAGTTTATTTGAAATACCTTTAAAATATAGTTTCCAGGCTTTACATCTGTGATGTCAATCCACTGGCAATCAATATCTGCATTATAGGTGTCATAACAACCAGGACTCAGTCCCTGAAAGAAGGAAAACACATCCCAATGACCGTTTACATTTTTAAAATTATGTTTTGTGAAAAAAAAAAATCGACAGGCAGATGTATAGATGAGGTGATAATTAACAGAAAATGGCATTAACCATTGCAAGATTTCGACATAGCACAAGAGAAGATGCAAAAATAGTTCATAAAGAACCAAAATCTAATAGATAAATATGATTCTGTTTTAAGTAAATCCATGCTAAGATGTGTGGAGGCTACCATTGCTGACAACCTTTTGAAAATGCTAATCACCTGTCTTGTCTATCTTCAGTAGATAAGTCCAAAATGAATATTTTCCCACATTCTTTAGTGTATGTAGTGACTAATGGCAAAGCTTACACAGAGAAAAGATAAAGAAGGTTCTCCAGCATTATGGGATCAGACATTCTTTCAGATCAATAAAGCCATGAAACTCCGCTACTGTATGATACACTGAAGAAGAATTACAGCTCAGATCCTGACTGTATTCCACATACTGTATATCTTACTGGTAGAAAAACTGTTCTGATTTGGGATTTGCACTAGAGTTATACAAGAGTTTTGCTAGAGTTTTATGACACAGGGCACACTTGAGCATTCATTAAGAAAAACTCTGACCATAGCCACAAATGCTATGGGGGTGTTTTTCAAAGTGATTTCTCAGTAAAATAACGCATGGAGGCATGGATGGATGGGTGAGTTTGCTTTGAATAATAAAAGTGAATTAAAAATGGCTAAAATATCGTATTCCAAGAGTAGTGGTTAATGATTCATACTCTGAATGGTCGGGTTGTCAGTGGTGTACCCCAAGGTTCAGTGTTGGGACCCTTACTTTTGTTATATATTTATAAATGATATAGGGTCTGAGATTAAAAATACCATTTCAATCTTTCCGGATGACACCAAGCTGTGCAGTGGAATAACATCCTTACAAGATGTCTTCAATTTACAAGCCGACCTCAATGTTTAATTGGGCAACTATGGGACAAATGAGGTTTAATGTTGATAAATGTAAGTTTATGCACTTGGGGGCTAAGAATATGCATGCATCATACATACTGGGGGGGAGTCAATGGTGGAGAAGGATCTGGGAGTTCTGGTAGATCACAAGCTTAATAATGGCATGCAATGCCAAGCTGCGGTTTCTAAAGCGAGCAAAATCCTCTCTTGTATTAAAAGAGGTATAGACTCCAGAGAGAGAGAGATCATATTACCCCTGTACAAATCATTAGTAAGACCTCATCTGGAATATGCAGTTCAATTTTGGGCACCAAATCACAAAAAGAACATTGGGGAACTGGAGAAAGTACAGAGAAGGGCAACCAAACTGATAAGAGGAATGGAGGAGATCAGCTATGAGGAAAGATTAGAGGAACTGAATTTATTCTCTCTTGAGAAGAGGAGATTAAGGGGGGATAGGATCAACATATATAAATACATCAGCGGTTCATATAGTGAACTCGGTGTAGAGCTATTCACCTTGAGGCCTTGATTCTTTCTTGGGTACACAGAATATAACTGGATACTAACATGTATAGGTAAAGTTGATCCAGGGAATATCCGATTGCCTCTCTGGAGATCAGATTTTTTTCCCTGCAGGAGCAAATTGGATCATGCGTTGCGGGTTTTTTGTTTACCTTCCTCTGGATAAACTGTGGGTGTAGGATTATAACTTTTTTTTTTTTTTTTTTAACCACCTCCCTTCCGGCCGTTGTATATAAATGGCCGGACGGTGGCACTGCAGGGTCGGGTGGCTGTCTATAAACTCCCAGGGAGCGCGCAGCACCGCGATCTGGTGCCCGCTGTGTCCTCCGGACACAGTGAAACACCGATCGTCGGACGGGACCTCTGTACGAGGTCCCGATCATGTGATCACTGATTGGCCAATCAGTGATCACATGCAAAGTAGTAAGCAAGATGTCACTTCTGACATCATTGCTTACTACGTGTGAAATCTGTGAATGATCACAGAGGTCACATGGTACAAGGCTATTCACAAAAGCCTTGTACCATGTGACAAGCTGTGACCAATTACAGCTCACTCAGTACTTCTCAATGAGTGCAAGAATGCACACAGAGAGAAAGAGAAATGATTGCTTTTACATCCTATATGGGTGTAAAAGCAATCCATGTAAAAAAAAAAAAATCTTCATCACCCCCCACAAGTAGTACAGTGTCACCATGGTGACACTGTACTGCTAGGGTGACAGTATGTAAAAAAAAATAATAATAAAAAAAAATAAAATAAAAATGTTTAAAAATTATAATTTTTGCTTATAAACTAATTTGGATTTTTTTTTTTTTACTAAAAAGATAACGGAATAAATTTTGGCTAAGATTTATGATGAAATATTATTTATTTGCAAAATTTTATAAAAAAAAAACACTTTTTTTTTCAAATTTTTGGACATTTCATTTACATAGCAAACAAAATACAAATCCCAGTGGTGAATAAATACCACCAAAATAAAGCTTTATCTGTCTCAAAAAAATGGTAAAAAATTCATTTGGGTACAGTGTTGCATGACCGCGCAATTGTCATTCAAAGTGTGATAGCGCTAAAAGCTGAAAATTGCCCTGGTCAGGAAGGGGGTAAAAGTGTCCGGTCTGGAAGTGGTTAATGGTTGAACTAGATGGACTTTTGTCTTTTTTTAGCCAGACTAACTATGTAATTAAATAGCATTTTTGGTTTGTGATGCTCAGATGCAGTGTAGTTCTGCTTCAGTAATATATTGTCCTCAGCTTAAAGCTGAAATTTAGGTATGAATTTTTATTTCATGATTACATTGGTCCAGCTTGGAACAATGTAAGTATTATTATACAGGATTTATATAGTGCCAACAGTTTGCACAGAGCTTTATAAAATGAAGGTAGTTACAATACAATTTGGTACAAGGGGGAACAGAGTAAGTATGCATATTTCATACCTGGGAGATTGCTGTGGAAGGCGACAATTGCTGTAGTAGCTGCTGCTACTACAGTGATCATCACTATCTTTCAGGTCCTGTGCCATTCACATTCCACAATATTAAACACAAGGCATTCCCTGATTGAACAAAGTGGAGAGGGGATGGTGACATCCCAGAGAGCATTGCAAGCCCAACAGTGTTCTAAAACTCCCCTACTCGATCTGGGGGGGGGACTTTGGCTTTAGATAAGCTTTCATTTTCACAGTATGTAATTTGTGAATTGGTACCCACCCTTACTTTATGTGGATGTCCACAATATTATCCATTTCTCTGAAAAAGTGAGAGAAACTGTGACAGGGAGATCTTCTAGGTGGAGTTACCAAGAGGAAAAAGAAGCCTGCAGGTGTCTCAGTGTAGACTCAGATTCCTTTCATAATTGAAATATATTTTTGTTGGTGGACTGACCCTGTAAACATTATCTGCTTACAACACACTGCACATAACAAATATCTATGCACCTGTCAAGCAGAAGAGAGAAAGGTATGGAAAATGGAAGGAACTGTTATGATAACCCTTGGTTTTACCCGTATCCTGTTTGACATCACTACATAAATATTCTGGTAAAAATGTAACTCGGTGAACTTTCCAGTGCTGACATATTTGCAATTGAGTGAGAAATAAATTAGGAATGAACTAGAGGAAATGATAAACTATAGTTCCAAAGGAAAATATAGCTGTGCTGTTTGTCTGCACTCAGGCACATTTCAAGGTACTGTTAGGCTGTAGAGCTTAAATGAATGTAGGATATGCTTAGTTCCCTGCAGACGTGGTGGATGCTGTTACAAAAAGGGATTTTAAAAATTCTTGGCACTGAGCTGTAATAGAAAAATGGCTTCTGATCAAATAAAGTCTGAGGTTTCACCCGGCATAGGAAAATGTGTATATTCTATGAAGCCAAGTCTTACTTGCTATAAAACCTGATGTTCTACTTGCAGAACACTCCATTCTTTTCCTTGGATAAAGCCATTCTTGTCAACTTGATATTAACATCCTACACCTAAGTATAAGCAGTTTGTGCTAAGGACCCTAGCTGTTATCTGTCAGGTCAAGAGGAAGTTTGTAACAGTGGACACTGGGGCTATTGTCTGAAGTCAACCCATCTCAATGAAAAATGAATGGCTGATTTCCAAATATCGATCTTATTCTGCTTTAAAGTGGTTGTAAAGGCTCATGGTTTTTTACCTTCATTCATTCTGTGCATGAAGGTAAAAAAAAAAAAACTTTTGTGTGCAGCTCCCCACGAGCCCCTCTAATACTTACCTGAGCCCCATCGCGATCCAGTTATGTGCAGGAGAGCCTTACCTCTCAGGGGGCTCTCCCTCCTTATTGGCTGAGACAGCAGACATAGGCTGCCACTGCTATCAATCACAGCCAGTGAGCCAATGTCGAGAGAGAGAGGGGCAGGGCCGATCTGCTGCTCTGCATGGACATGCAGAGCAGCGTCTTAGGAGCGAGTGTGCTTGGGTGCCTCCATAGCAGGCTGCTTTCTCTGGGGGCACTTAGCAGGGGTGAGAGGCCAGGAGCACCAGCGGGGGGACCCGAGAAGAGGAGGATCAGGGCTGCTCTGTGCAAAACCATTGCACAGAGCAGGTGCATATAACATGATTTTTCCGCTTTTGTTTTTCAGGACAGCACCTTGAGAGACCTTGGCTCCTCCCCACCTGAGGAAACACCTCCACCCTAAATAAAAAGTCTGTGCTCCCCTCCGACCTCAGTTCTGGTGTTCCCTCCGGTGGGGAGACATCTTGAGGAAGCTCTCAAGGTGCTGTCAGGGGACAGTGGCCTGAAACCTGGAGCGAGTCCAGGGCCGGAGAGTCGGCTGTGGGGACTCGATGCAGCGGGGAGTGAAGGCCGGAGTGCCGGCTGCAATCCTCCCGTGGTGGGCTGCAGGATAGGAGTGTGATCCCGGGGTGACAGGGCAGGAACACTAACCTGCCAGCCACCCCCGAACCCCTCCGGTGAGTTGCGGGTGTCAGGGCGGCCTTGGTGGGATCTGATGAGGATCGAGGAGCAGTTCCACTCCTTCCCA